GGGGGGGGGGGGGGTGGTCCTTTAATAATGGGCATTTTGTGGTTTGATCACCAGAGACCTCCGAACCTGGTGGTAGTGTTGGTTAATGTGCGACACTTGCAGAACCAGACGATCAGCAGTACAGTCGCCGAAACAATGCGCGGTGATGAAATTTGCTTCCCAGACATAGCTGATATATGCGCAACGATTAAATCCTCATGCGTGCTCTGATACCATGTGAAAGAATAAAGAACAAAGGAGAGAATATTGAGAGAATGATTTTACTTGATTATTCCCTCAATCTTTTGGGTTTAATTAGTGAATGTAAAGGTTCAAAAATAGGAAATAAAATATTCGGACTTCCTAATTATAAGAAAGAAATCTATCTAACTGATTGATCCTAATTGATACACAATACTATATTCAAAATTCTTAACAGCCTCCAAGGTTTCTTAAGGCTGTTTTGAACTTTTGATATTTGGAACTGTGGGAATTCATCATTCTTTCTCTTTCTTTCTATATAGTCTGCCTTTTTGTCACCCTTCAGCATAAACGGCTTAGACTGGTTTTGATTGTTTCTCAAAAGCAATTCATTAATTGTTCAACATTAGCAAATACATTAACAGTTTAAGTAAAGGCATTACGTAGGCTCCGAGTTGTATATACTCTTTATTCAGATGCTTTTCGTAATGCTCTGGCCTTCTGAATAATTGTGTTGGTGCCACTGATATTTTATTAGGGCTCATGTACTTTATTAGATCCAGGCGTTGATACTTTCTTCATTCTTCAGCATCTTATTCCAATTTCATCGGTTGATCCAGGCGTTGATACTTTCTTCATTCTTCAGCGTCTTGTTCCAATTTCATCGGTTACGGATGACCGACCATGTATTGAGAATGTTGTGTCTCCTGTTTTGTGAACCTTTGCTCCAATACTATTCCACTAATGGCATCGAACGAGTTTACTTTGCCAAACATTGAAAGCTGAGTGTGTTATTTTCTTGTGAAAGGTAAGTTGATTAACATCTTCTGCAGCCAAATTTTGTTAAATAGAATAAGCTGGAGGAAGTGGTGTCATCGTAATTTTCCAAACCCTAAGATTTTATTGCTTATTATTTCTGAGTCATTCTTTTTGTCTGTCTCATTTTGTCCTTTCCTACATGAAATGTTCCAGAAATCAAATCCTCCTGGAGCTGTAGGGAGCAGTCTTGCCTTAGAGACGATTTTGCAACATGCTGCTTCTCTAGAAATCAGACCTTACAGGTGCTGTTTTCTCTATCTTTTCATTAATTAGAGATATGACATTGATAGAAGGGGAGCCTTGGAGCACGGTAAAGTTTTTTCCCTGTGACCTATAGGTCACTGTTTCGAGTCGTGGAATGCCACTAATTGCTCACTAGGTGGGCTGCCTACATCACACTCTTTGGGTGCGGCACTTCCCCGGACCCTGCGTGAATGCAGGATGCTTCGTGCACGAGGCTGCCCCCTAGAGATATGACACTGATACTATTGTCTTTACCATAACTAGTGTTAGAGTGAGCGCGATGCGCGGATAATTTGACGGAATATTAATCTTATAAAATTATGATCTAATATATCATATTATTTTAGTAAATCTTATTTGTTATTTTATTATTTAATATAATGTGCAGAAATATAACAAAATCTATACAAAATCAAAGAATAAACAACATATAGTGATCAAATAAAATTATTTGTTCTTTATTTATTAAATTAACAAGTACTTAGTACTATACATTTACTAACGTGACTTTTTATTAACTTGTCAATTGGCTTAATATTTTGATACCACTTCTCTTTTAATATGACATAGATATATATTTTCTTACTCTAAAAATATTTGTATTTTTTTTAAACTTTTGTTATACCGTTAGAAATTCTTCAATGGTCTAAATTTATTAATAATTTTTTTGAGCGTTATTTAATTATCTTTTTTTTTAATTAATTCAACATAAATATTATAAAATTATCTTTATCCCCTCTTTTCGTACATTCTTTTCTTCGGTAATATATTAGTTTTCTCATTTGTTTACTGGGATAAGCATTTTATTATTTTTGTAAAAAACCTACCAATATTTTTAATAATTAATAATTTGTGTTATATATATAATATGCTTAATATATGTACAATATCCTAAATGTATCTTCATATTTATTTTCATTTAGTGTTTATTTATAATACGAATATAAGTTATAATTTTCTAAATGGATGGTGTTGAATTAGTTCAAAGGTTAAATGGAGAAGTTCTTTTAATATATGTCATAAATGTACTAATAATTGTAATAATTATTATTTTTGTATTATTTTCAATAAGAAATTAAATTAAATTTTTCTTCCTGTTTGTACTTAATATACTGGGTATGTGTTGTTGTATATACTCAATATGAAAGTTAAATTTTTTTTATTAAGATTACTATATAAGAAGTTAAATTATATCTTTATATATTTTATTTATTTTTTAAAATTATTGTTTATGTTTTGTCTTTAGTTTTATCTTTTCCATATAGCATATAGCACGACCATATGCATTATTATTATTATTGAAAACTGTTGTCATCTAAAAAAATAAATTAGTCTTATTATTATATATCTCTACATGAAGTTATATATTTGTATATATATATATTTTTTTAAATAATTTTTGAATCTCCAAATTTGTTGAAGTTTTGTCCTAAAATTTGACACTTGTTAAAGTTTTGTTCTTACACTTGGCATTATCACATTGATTTGCGTCTCCTATTCTATACAGATAAATAGGTATTTTTGTTTCTTTATTTTAAAATAATTTTTTACTCCAACTTAAAACTACTCGCCCAATTTGAATTGGCATTTTTAATTTTTTTTAATTTCTTTTTTTATTTTAAAATGATTTTAAAACTCCAGCTTGAAACTACTTCCCAATTTGGATAGGTAATTTTTTTTATTTGTACATTTTCTTTTTTTATTATAAAAAATTAAAACTCTTAACCTTTTTGGAGCTTTGTCCTAAAAATCTACATTTATCATCTTATGGTTATGCAACTTGGCGTCATATAATTATTTTACTTATAACTATTCACGACCCGAAAATCCCTCCAAAGAAGTCGTGATGGCACCTAGTTTCTAAACTAGGTAAGCCTAACATTTACTGAAATAATATGGGTATTCACTAACTTTAAATTAAATTACTCTGAACAAAATACAATTCCCAAAACCGGTAGTACAAATCACAAGCCTTTCTAAGAGTAGTTATACAATATGATTACATCACTGTTCCGAAGCAAAGAGAACAAATGGAAATAAGTACAATTGAAGGTGACTCTGAGGACTGCGAATGCTATAGCAGGTTTACCTTGAGTCTCCACCGCAACGAATAGCTACCGTCGATCAAAGGCATGGATCTGTACACAAAAATGTACAGAAGTGTAGTATCAGCACAACCGACCCCATGTGCTGGTAAGTGTCTAGCCTATCCCGGCGAAGTAGTGACAAGGCTAGGACCAGACACTCACATAAACCTGTGCAGTTTATAGCGTACAAAATAATATGAAGCAAATAATAATAATGGCAACGATGATCAACCAATGATATAAATAGCTGGCAACAAGAACACCAAAATTGCTTCTCAACAAATAACAAATACAAGTGCAATCAATTAATCAAGTCCTTCAAATATAAATTTTTCGCTTATAAATCCTTCAAGTAATAATCTCTAAGATAATATGTTTTTCAATAAATATATTTTGAATATATTTCCTTCAAATAGATATCTTTCATATAAGCATCTTTCGAATATAATTCTTTCGAGTAAAGGTCACCTTGTGACACCTCATATCATAATCATAAATAATATAGGTCTCAGCCCATTTTCGAAATTTCACAGCACCTCGTGCCCACATTTATGTCACAACCGCACGGACAGCTCACGTGCCATTAAATAAAACCATAATATTTTCCCCGGCACCTTGTGCCCACATATTTCTGTTTCACATTGCACAACAATATTCTCATGTTACTCAGCTCATAGGTTCCATAACCCAATACAATTAAGAATATTCAAGGAGCCTCATTCACTTAACATAAAGTAGAGTACATCTCCCAACGCAATTAGGAAATCAACAAGAAAAGATGACGTTATTATTTATTTATTTTTGAAATTATTTGATAAAGAAAATACCCTTTTTAATTACTGTACAATATCGAATGAATTAGTACCTTTAATACGAGAAATCAATTGAGTTAAAAATGTGACAATTTTTTTGAAATTTGGAGTTTTGAACACAAACAAATAAATAAGGCGAGGTATCGTAAACACTATGGATTCGAACACAATGGGTCACAACAGTAAAGGGACCTAACTAGTTAATACACTTGAATTGTTAATAACAAGTAAACACATCAACAGAGAGTAGGAAAACAACAGATGCACGGCATCATCCTTCGTGATGTTACTCTCGTTCTCACCAAATCAATCATATTAAGTACACGGCATTTTCCTTCGTGCTTTACCTCACATAATGATGGCACGGAATGATACTTCGTGCGTTAGCACTCATATCAGGGCACGGAATGAACCTTCGTGCATTAACATTTATATCATGGCACGGAATGACCCTTCGTGCATTAACATTTATATCATGGCACGGAATGACCCTTCGTGCTTTACACTCTTTCCTCACAAACAACAATACACGGCATCACCCTTCGTGCTTTATCACTCTTCCTCACCCAAGCAACAATCACAAACAATGGGGCGAGGGAATAGACAAGGCTAAAATAGGAATCCCGGCAAGGGAACAGTAAGTAAACAATTTAGATCCCGGCAAGGGAACAATACTATCAAAACAAACATCCCAACAAGGGAACAATACTATCAAAACAAACATCCCAACAAGAGAACAATACTATCAAAACAAACATTCCAACAAGGGAACAATAATAATAATAACACATGAAGCGCAATAAACTACAACGGAGTCACAACAATTATAATACAAGACTCACGGGCATGCTCGACCCCCAACGTATAGATACTCGTCACCATGCCTATACGTCGGACACATCACATAACAAGTAGCAAA